AAAATGGGTTAAGATGGGGGGGGGTGATGTTAAGCAATTAATTGCAAGGTGGTTTTCCTTTTGATGATAATAAAGGAGGATGAATGACTTATTTCCTAGGTAAGTATGAGAAAGAACACAAAATACAGGTACAAATTTATCCTGACAAATTTTGCTTTGCCCTTTCCTGCCTCATTGCCATGATTTGCAATATATGGCTTTTATTGTTCAGAAATAATTAATCAATAAAATGATCTAGAGAAATGTAGCAGAAAAGTAGAAATAAAATTAAAATGCAAAGCTAAATTAGTTATCAATCATTAGCAATTTTATGCTATTTCTTGAAAATAAATGAAGTGTACAGGTACATATATAATTTTTCAGCACAAATATTTGTATTTAACACTGACAATAGCTCAGTGTTTCTGTGTACAATCTCAATACAAATCTTTTTTCAGCTCTTTTGTCTCTTGCTTGTACTTGAAGAAACTGGAGATGGAAGAAACATGAAGATATCTACAGCAAAGCACAACTGTTCCCAGTGGTACATTATATTCTTAACTGCTCTGTCCACCCAGTGTTAAATTATTTGTATGATGACAATTCCATAAATTCCTGGACACACGAGATGGAGGCATCAACATTTTTTGATGAATATTAAACACAACTATAAAATAACTTTGCATAAATATCTCATTATAAAAATATAATTTAAGTTTCCTTTCCGATCAAGCAATCGGAAAAAATTAATACAGATAAAAACTATTACATAAAAGAGTTGCAAATTAGTAAAACCATTTTTCATTTGTTCATATTTACAGTTTAAAATTTCAAGGAATAAATTAGTGGTCTAAATAGCTGAAACAATACAGTAAGAATATGTACTGTTCCAATGATAAACTCAACATACTTCAGTTATTTACTTAAGATGGTTAATAGTAATTATAGAAGTGATATTTTCTAGCTCTTGCTTAGCCATTCCATCGTCTGGTTTTTTACATATAAAGGGAGTATTTTTTTTACTCTAGATTCGATGATTAAAGATGCAAAACTGTTAAGGAAGTTATTATAGTAACTTAGAAGAAATAGAAATTTAAAGAGCATTTTTAAACCTTCACTATTGCAAGGAATGTTACCTATCCATCTGGCACATCTCTCTGAAGATCTGCAGTATAGAGAAAAGTAAGAGTCGAGCCAAAAGAATCATTTGCTCTAGTATATGTGCAAAATGCACCTAGATCAGGGAACTGGAGAGACAAAGTGCCAGAACCAGGGTAATGTAAGAACAAACACTAGGTGACCCTGAGAACTGGAATAATGGAAAATGAGAAAACTCAAAGAACAGAATCATGTGTTGAAAACTTGAAGCATTAAAACCAAAACAATCTATTGTAAATTTGGAAATCAGAGCTAGGAAGCATCTTAACGAAGGAATAAGGAAGGAAGGTCTGGGTATGCTAAAAGGGACAAGTGTTAAAATGTACGAAAAATACAGAAGTGTTATATGGAGGTTTATACACGGAAGAATATTACTGCTGCCTATAAAAACATGAGGTGAATAAGGAAAGGAAGGGAGAGAAGTACTTAAGCTGCAAGGCAGTAAGGCAATGCATCTTAAAAATGTTGGCATAAAACAGCCAGAAGTAAATCTAAGCCAGAAAGAAGAAGGTTCATAAACACTGCAGTATTTTGACCCAGAAATAGCTTTCTACACAGAGAAGCAAGGGGAATTTTCCAGAGTGCCTAAAGCAGGTCAAATTCTTTAGGAAAGGAACTGTGTGAATAGATGCTTTGGTAGTCACAGTCTGGACTTGGTGGTCAAATTGAAGATTGCACTCTTTTCCCTGGAACAGAAGCAAATCATGAGAAAGTGATGGGATTAGGTGACTGTTTTCTCTCTAGCAGAATACCAAAAGAAGCCAAGATAATGACTCTGTAATATGTGTATTTAATGCATAGTTTCCTCTCTTGGCTTATTAAAACAAAAATAGCATAAGTTGCTATTAACAAAATTTTTCACTGCTGCCCACTCCCAGGTTAAAACTAGATCCCTTTCTTCTTAAGTTGAACTAACACAAGCACAGAAGAATTTCAAAGTGATTTCTATCTGCAAAAGTTCATCTTTCTTTGATCTCCCCTCCTCCTCAAGTTCTTCATTTTCTGATGAGGCATGAAGGATGCTGAAGAACACATGTCTGAAATCTCAGAAGTGAACAGGGAGAAAGGCAACAGCTACCCAAGGTGCACCAGCCATCATAAGCTGGTGTGGCTTTGCAAGCAACATCCAAACAGTCATATTTAAAAATCATGCTCTCAATCAGTCCCAGAGGCCTCAGCAGTGTTCCTAGTCTCTTTCAGAGATGAATAAATCTGCACAGTATTGCTGGATGGTATAGTAAGTCACATGCTGTTGAAAAACTAACAATTTTGTTGTTAAAAAAACAGCATTTACATTGCCTGAAGCATTTCTCTTTAAGAATAAGAATCAGATCAGTTCTTTAAGTTTCTCAAGAACTTGTACCGACTGTAAACAATCTTGATGACACTTTTCTGTAGTAGACTGAGTTCATATCAACATCAAAAGCACAAGGTCCACTCACATCTTTCATATTTCAGAAAAGAAACATTTGAAGACTAAAAACTGGTCAGTGATTGTTGATTTCAAAGAACTCTTAAATGGCCTCTCAAGTGTACAGGGCTGCTAGTTAGAGCAAGAAATGTTCAGAATATTACTGCAGATTACATTAAAAAAATGGAGAGATGCTTAAATTTCCCAAGGAAGTCTACAGCACTTGAATGCTTTTGACATTGCTGAAACTTGTCCACTGTGAAATCCAAAACCTCAAACTGTCATAGTGATTTTTGTTTATCTAACTACACTGCTGTGTTTTTCCCAACTTTCATTTAAGTGTAATTACCAACGCTAAAACTGAATCAAGATGCCATATTTTTTAAAACTACTTACTAAATCTAAACCTTGAGCTTTGTTTTTGACACCTTCCACAATGACATACAACTGTGTGTCATAATGCTTTAGATAATTTCCAGAGAAAGAGGAGTGCAAGGTGTTTTATTCTCTATGGCTTTCCCTAATCCTTTAAGAGCCTGGTCTTCTGCTCATGCTGCAAGTTTTTTGAGGACTGCAGGTTATGAGTCAAAGATAGTTTGACCTTTCCTCTGTACCTGTTGGGATTGGGGTACTATCCCTAGTTGTTCCCCACCAGCTTTTCCCATTCCTGAGAGTATTTTTTAGGTGTATCCTGAAATAATTTATAGGCTGCTCCTGCCTTTTCTTCCCTTCCTCGACAGTTTTTACTAATCAGTTGTAAGTAGGGAGCTTGTAAGTCTGGTTTTCATAGTCTAACTTCTTCTGCTAGCCTAGTCTGGGTCAGAAAGATTTATTAATGTGTAAGACATCTTTCTAAAATCATTTTATAGCCTTGGTGCTATATTTCTTGCTTGACTATTGTACAGACATGGATCAAGAACAAAATTCTATTGGAAAATCAATAGCTGAAACAGTTTCTACATTTTTATATACAAAGGTGCCATTAATAACTAAATAATTAGACATGTAGAATATGTATGGTTACATTTAAATGTATAAAGAAAAGAAGAGTATGAATACTGAATAGGGTAAGTAACAACTTTGACATCAGCTTCAGGAATAACAAAGCATTCAGAAAGCAAATAAGAGAAACCATGTAATTTGTCTTGCCTATCCATAACTTCTTGTTGTCATGAACCCACCACTTCCATGTCAGAGACTCTGGCAGAAGCAATTAAACATGCACTCAGTTTTGTACAATGGATTGACCCAACTGTTGCATCACAGATATAAATGCATCTCATTTCTGTCATTACAGTTTAACAGCTTAATGACCTCTATAGGCAGAAACAACAGTTCCTTTCTTTTCATGCATGTTGTTCTATTTCTGTTTAGGTATCTTTGTATGCTTCTCCTGGTACATCTCCCACCCACGTTTACTGCTTTCTCTCAGGCCTCTATTTGCACACTTCCCCACCTTCCCCCCAGGATGTATTTCTAGCAGCTGGGTTCTCTCCTACACAGGTCATCTCTCATCCTGTGAAATAGCAAGCCGACCACATAGACATAAACGAGGGTACATTGAAATAAAAAAGCCACTTGCTATTAAAAAAAACCCCAGCACCTCCACCACAAACAAGCTGATTCTGATGCCTTTAATTTAATGGCCTATACCTTCACAGATAAACCAACACTAAAAGGCAGAGCTAATAGAGAAAAGTGGTTTTCATATTTAAGATATATTAATGCATCCGTTCAAGATTCTAATCTGATTTAAAATTCTTCACCATAATAGTGCTTACACAATCATTTAAGAGTAAGACACTATTCCAGAACACTGTAGAAACAAAACATATAAATGTGGACATTAAAATATGCTCCTCATTAAGCACATTTCCACAGTCTGACCCTTTTGGAAAAGCTTGACTATTTGTTCGTTAATTACTGAAAAGTGCATATTTTATAGTACTTCATATTCTTTAGACAGTAGTTAAATATTTGAGGACGATATAGATAAGCAGAGTTTAGAGTTTCCATCTGTTTCCCTCATTGTTAAAGATAAAGAAAACAGCAAAGTCTACCACAGGTGTGAACACACTGAATTCTTGTACAAACTTTTACACTGAAGTAGTAGTTTAGGAAATGCTTTTCTAACACATTTCATATGAGTAAAGTTTAAGCTATTTCCTTCTAATTCAGCATCTCATTTGGAAGATGTACATTCACCTCTGTCTCTGCTCACAGGTCACTCAAATTTTGGGAATGCAGTCCTCCAGCCACATAACCTCGCAGCACATCTGCTATACTTACATCCACCTTGATTATTTCCCTTCTGCCTTTGCAATTTTTTGACAACTTTACAAACCTGACCACTTTTTATCCTGCAGTTTCCCCACCACAAATTAACTACAAGGGGCAACTCCTGCTTTCTTAATAGGAATATTCATTTCAACATCAAATTTTGAATTCTTACCGTGGTCTGTAAGTTCAGACATGCAGAGTTCACTTGTCTCATTTCCACCTGGTTCATCGTGTCCTATGGACATGTAGTCACTTGTAACGACTGGCTGAGAATAAATGAGGTGTTTTGAAGTCTGTTCATCAGATTCCTTAGTCGAATGATGAAGCGGCATGGAGAAGCAGGTACAGTTAGAGCTTTGAGCAGGATCACAACACAATGGTTGACCTGACCTACACAATTGCTGGTACTTGTATTAGGCAAATACTAAAATAAAATCCTAACGTCTTTGTGAATGATCAGTAGTGACTCAGCCAAAAGCACAGACAGATTCAACTTTTTTTTTTCCAGACACAATGGGAAATAGAAACTAGAGTGCATTTGAAAGAAAAGGTAGAAGACAAAGCATATAACAAAACCTCATTACTTTTATGATGCTTTCACTGGCTATTTCCAAACTGACTCTGTTCTCTCTATGATAAGATATGGTGCTGGAATTGAACAGGTCCGTCTTCTGTTGCAGATGGCTTAAAAGCAAAGGACAGCTTACACTGGGAGTCAATCCAAGGCTCCATTCTTAGAAAAAAGCCAGTCGAAGATTTAATATTCTTAACCAAATGAAAAGAAACCACAGACATGACAAATTAAAGTCTTTAAAGGATTACAGTTCTAAACATCTTGAAAATTAATGCATTTTGAACTTTCATGTCAGACAGTCAGTGAGAACATTTCAGAGAGCAGATTGGGATTTAAGGATGACTTGAGAAAAGAAAATTGTGCAGTGAATAGAGAGCTTGTTGAACCATATCTGAATAACTGAGTGTACTTTCCCTCAGCACAGATCCACAGGTTCAGCTAAGCAGTCCAGACTTTGATACAATTCCTAATTATTAGTCTCAGAATAGGGCTGTGCTAAATAAAGCGCATGGGAAACAGAAAAATCTTGTACACTGAATGCACATGAACGAGGCCTCTGAAACAACAGTCCATACTTACATGTAGGACATTGACATTCGGCTGCTTAAAATTACGGGACCTGAATTCTTGCATTCTTTTGACATTTTCTTGATATTTTTCTTCTGCCAACTGTCTGTAAATACAGAATGCTTGTGTTTATCATGTATATCAGGGAGTGTACAAAGAGATCCTCTAAAAGCAGATGTGGAAAAGCAAATTCCATAATGAGATTCCCATGTTGTCAAACCTTCATGGCATCTACTCACAACATGGTTAGTTTTAGTGAACTCACAGAGAGATTTCAGACCTTATTTCCAAACACTATTATATTTTATTTTTACAACTTACATAATACAATTAAGAAATAGTAAATTATTAGTCCTGGTCTTTTCTATTTCTTCCAAAGATCTTAACTACTTTGGGCTTTATTCAAACATGTAGTGCAGGGACCGTTCAGCTGCAGACAGGCATGCAACATTTGTGTGCTGTGAACACTTCACCTGGGAGAGAATTGGTAACTGTGGCTTTTTCTATGGGACTGCTAAAGCTGGTGCTGCATTATGCAGTTCTTCTAAGTTTCCATTGCTATACTCCCTTCCCATCCATCTCTAAATTTGCACTGCTGAAAGTAGATCTGCAGTCTGAGAAGGTATCCCTTTTGCACTGTTACAATTATTTTCAGCCAGCCAGCAGACAATAATATAGAGTTCAGTGTAGATTCATTTTAAAGATTCATGACTGAGAACAAGGTTTGAAGATTAATGTGTTGCCTTTATATGAAAAAACAAATATATCCTTTTTTTTATGTTGGGGGAAAAAAACCCATGAAAATCTCAGCAGAAAACACTAAAATGCATGAAAGCAAAGAAAATGGAAAGGAAAACAGAACTATCCTTCAATTAGTATTATTTCCTGATCTCCATCCATTTAAGGAAAGTGAAAGCGACAGATTTCCTATTTATAAATTTCATATTACTACAAGAATTGGCCTACTATGTTATTGCCCACCATGCAGAAGAGGTGTTAAATTTAATACTTTTTATACAGTGGTTTCAATTCAAGGAGAGGCGTGTTTTTCCAAATGAAAATAAATTTTTTTAACAAATGCAATGCTAAGTGTCAGTCACACATAAATGCTCTTCAGACATATTTTCCAAAAGGACATGAAGACCTTTATCTCTTTGCTTCTAGCTTTTGGGTATCGGCATCATCAAGTAGTGCTAGGATGTGATTTTACAGACCACATTTGCTCAGCTGCAATTACTGTTACTTGCAGGTATATGTAGCTGCAGAGCTTCTGAGGCAATAAATTCCGGCTACAAGTCACCATGCAATATTTTTCTGTACTAGCACATCATTGCCTTATGGAATTGCTAACATACTTTGGTATGACAGGGTTAAGATGCCGATTATCATGATCAAAAACAATTATTTCCTCAACTACACTCTATAAATTTTGAGCAAACATTTGCTAATTTACATTGCACTTTGCAAAATGCTTTAGAAGAAAACATTTAAAATTGATTAAAAATTAATGTGGTGCTTTTCCAATTTTCATTTCTATCAAATAAATCTCTGAATATTTTTAGCTGGGAAAAACTCAAATGAGTCATCAAAACAGCATATTCTGCTTTTTATTTAGAAAAACCAAACAAACATGCATAGACACACAGCCCTCCAGCTGTTTCTCATATTCCATCAGAAACAGTACTTAATCTCCTCCTAAACCTCTTTGCTGGATTGTAACTAAATGTCCAACTTTCAGACTACATAATACTTGACATAACATGTCATTAAAAAAAGTCTCCTATTGCAACACATATGAAAATCTCTCATATACTTATTTAATCAGAAACACAGTGCTCAAAGTACCATTTCTGGGCTAATGTTCTGACTTTTTTTCTACATAAATAATTACTGTGATTTAACTCATCCAAAATCCTCATTCAGTTTGCATAACTGAAGACTCTTTGTACTATTATTTCTACCTTGACAGTTCTAACTCTCTCATTAGACTGTTGGATGGGGAAAATTGCATGGCTAGGGCACAACTTACTGCAACTTCTGTGCTTTCTCATCTGCAGCATGTAACTTCCTCAGCCGCATTCGTTCCCGCGGTGTCATTTTCTGTACTTCAGACAGTTCCTGCAGAGTTTGCAAATGAACTTTTCTCCGCCTGAAATTGAATGCATGCCAACCCATCTTCATATAAAAATGTAAATATTCAGTATTTTGATTTGATATTGAAACACAGTGACATTTCAAATGGAATAATTAGAAAATCACCGGAACTATGACTATATAAACAGACTTTAGTTTGGAAAGCAAATGCCTCTTAAATTGAAATATTTAAACTTAGACTTAGATTCATGAAGAAGGTGAATCATTTCAGGTGAGGAAGGAAGAAAGTAAACTCTTCTCCTTAAAAGAATAAATGTTGAAGCAGAGTGAAATATTTACCCTGGCGGGCTTCATTATTGGGCATATTCCAAGCACAAAGACAGTCTTTAAATAATAGCCACAGGAAGGAAAAAAAGGTATTCCTCATACATTTTACATTGATTGTCACGAGCTGTCTAGGATCAAAGAGAATATTAATGTGTCTTTAATGACAGATATAATTACCATGCTGTCCTCTTGAATTTCTGGTCCTGATCAATAATAACAATACACTGGTAAAATGGTTTCCAAAGACCATTTCTGAAAGCTGAGCATGAATTATTGACTTTTGTATTTCAGCTGTATTTATCAACAGAGGAGAGCAATATTAGTCCTTTATCAGAAAAAGGACACTAATCTCAGACTTTTATCTCACATCCTCAAACAATTACAAAAATTAAACCATAATTTGAAATGCCTTGGCAGTCATGTTTCACTTATACCAATATATGTTCATTATACCATGTATTTATGATACCAAGTATTAATTTCAAATTACTATTTTTGCTCTTAGGAGATAAAAATTCACTGCTGCTCATCTAGGTTTGTAACCATACAAATTGTAACACTCCTTCTGGACTATCATTTTGAAATCAGGATTTTAATAAATGTGCAGAAAAGATTTCATTATGCTTTTCAAACAGTGCAAAGATAAGAATATTAGTGTAAAATATGAAAGATTAAGGGCAAAGACAAGAAGAGTTAATTATTCATAAGAATGGAACTAACACTTCAAGTATGAATAATGTAGACATATTTCTTGTCCCCTGCAAAAAACCTCTAATTTAAATTATAAGAATCTCTTGGGGGGAAAAAAGTAATTTTTCATTCAAGTTGAAACTGAACTTGTACAGCTTTATACTTACTTAAATATTTAAAATTTATGACTTGCATGGGACTGGAATAAAGTAAGTCATCAGAGGCCTTTACTAGAAGAAACTAGACTCAACCATACACGGCAAAAAGAATTCTTGGTGAGAAAAAAAGTAATCATAAATATAAAGTAATAATGGTTGAGGAGGACACCATAGCAAGCAACCCTTTCTCCACTCACTGGGACTAGAGTATTGCTTCACTACAGGAGATGTGGGGAAATCACTCTGTTTAAACTTTTCCCGTCCTCTTTTCTGCTCTCTATCATTTTTCAGGTATTTTTAGTTCATTTTACCTACCTCTTTAGATCTGGGATTGTAGAAATTATTTGACATCTTGCTTACCAGCAGCAATACAGACATAAGTACAATGAAAGCTATGATAAGATTATGACTTTGTGCATATTCCAAACACTTAGGCAAAAATAATCTGACTGCAGCACATGTGAAAATAACTTCGAGCAAAGTTTCTCCTAGGAATTTTTTTGTCAAATTGATGCCCTGAATTTCAAAACCTCAGGGTAAATTTCCACCCTCAAACAAAACAAGTTGCTATTCATTGCTCCACAATTTATAGGAACTCTGGACCTCTGCACAGAAGCAACTGGCTTTTAACAAAAATATAACAACATGATGTTTGTAGTTAGAATTTGTGCTTCATCTTAGAGACTAGAGACTTGGTTTTGAACAAGTATAGTTACAGATTCTGGGATATACATGAATGTCCTCCCCATATACTAGCTCAGTTAATAAAAAATATCCATTTGGAAGGTGATGAGCCTCATATATTCAAATTAATGCCAATGGATCAGGTATAGAACATAGTATAAATTACAAATACTAAAAAGTGGTTTTATCAGTCTGTTCCAGAAGCATGGGGATATTTGACATCTGGGTATAGAATCTGCAGTAACAATACTGCTTCCTCAGAGCACATATAGTCTTTTTGGTGCATACAGATAATCTGAAACCTTATTCCCACAAGATAAAGGCATGGATTAAAAGTTTCTTGAAGATTCTCATACTCTATTTTTCAATATGCACTAAATATTCAACATAATTCAGACAGAGCTGGCATAATATTTGGGCAAGATTTCAGTGCCCCAAAACTATTCAAAGTATATCTCTAAGGAACATCTCTGCAGTTAACTATACTAAATTTGAAAAGGGAGGAATCGACTTGAATATAGCAGCCATGGAGAAAAGACATGTCTAATGTTTCCAGACAATTGAATATCTACTTGTCTGACTCTTGTATTTCCAGGATACTAATAAATGGTCATTTCTAGCAGATGCATCATGCAGAATAGTAATGCCAAAAACTTGACAGGATTCTCAGCTAGCTCCTGCTATTACTTATTAGATAGTTCTTACTAGGCAATACAAGTATCATTTATTCTTGAGTTTTACATCCATGGTTGCAAAGTTCAACAACCTTTATATCCTAAAGGTGCCTATTCATACCAAGATGGAGAACTTTGGTCTCACAAGCTTCTGATTTTGAACATGCTACTAACAGAGCAGAACTCTGCACAGAAAACTCCAGGACAGGAAGCAAAGGGGAGGACCAGCTGCCAATGAAACTACAGAGATAATTTACAAAGGCAAAATTAAATTTCCCCATGCTGACATTTGCTTTAAATATTGCAGCATTGTAATTCAATGCAATTAAATAATTTAATCTATATTCAGTGTCTAAGAGATCATGTCTGAAGACACTACTGATATAAGAGCCAAAAAACTTTGCTAGACTTAATTTCTCACTGCAGTTACAGAAGAAATATAATTGTATCCTAAGATGTATTAGATGAATGTAAGTTCAAGTGTATATGCTCTTAGTTTGGTGTCATTTAGGAAACATAGCTTTCACATTCAAGTATTAGTAGGTATACAAACAGCAGCACTATAAATGATCATGACATAACTAAATTGACAACTTAAACCTTCAAAATCTAAAGACAGAGGTCATAATTTATATGCCAGTTGGTACTAAATTAACATAAGCACATACTACAGATGCGTGTGCAATTTACACAGTAATATAATAAAAATGTTTGATCTGCAAATCCTCTTTTTCTCCCTAAATCTTATTTATGCATCTTATTAATGTGGTTGCTCTTCTGTATTTCTGGGGTATGGGTCCCTCTAAATATAAAACACTATGAGATCAGCACAAGTGTTAATTATATTATCTGGCAACACTGTAATTTCATATACTGCTGTCCATAAAAAAATACTTACACGGCACCAAAAATGGGAGCATTTTCTTTCTGCAAGTTAAGTGCCTTGTCTTTCATAGTCATGTTTGTGAACTTGTACTGTCTTTTCTGCAAGGAAATAAAATATAAGTGGTATCAACACTAGGTGCTAGAGTTATCCAGATTTTCAGCTATGACTCAATACAGTTCTAAAGTAAAAACTGAATGAGCAGTTTCCTTCCCCACCTTCTTCAAAAGCCAAATATACCGAAGCAGGGGCCAAAAGAGCACGATGTATTGGTTTTCTTTAAAATTATGACTAACCAGAACAGTTTAGGGATATATGTGCCCAGGTCCAAATGATCTGCATTTGTTTTGCATAAATATCTGTTTTCCTTATTGCTCATAACATTTAAGAGGGAACACATTCAGCATGTGAAGTGACAAGGGCTTCATTTCCCATTGCCTTGCTCCCTCAGTCATGTTTGTAATATAGCTCTGAAAGTCCCCTTGATTAATGTTCCCATAAACTGCTATCTAATTATTTTTTTCTCAACATGCTTTTTCTGCCTCCATTCTGGTTTTGCACAATACATGGTCAAATGATAAGTGTACAGCTACCACTTTTCCTTATATACCTTTAGTTGTTCATCAATATAAGGGATTCTTAGGAGCTCTGCTGCTGTTGGTCTCAATGAAGGATCCTTACTTAACATGCTGAAACATTAAAAACCAAAAGTAATCATTAAGTGATTTTCCAAACTAACTGAAAAACCTGCTAAGCAAGAAAATAATCTACCTGCGTAGCACAGCATTCAGCTTGCTTGAGTAAGTATCCGGAAGAGAAGGTGTGTCACCTTCCACAATTTTTAACACGACAGACAAAAAATTCTGTCCTGTAAATGCATGGTTCATACAGCACATTTCATACAAAATGCATCCCAGAGACCTATAAGTATAAAGAAGCAGAAACAGTAAAAACAGCATTTTTGAAAGTAGCATGCCTAGTCACATTGCAGCAAGTAAAACCACAGCTGTATGCCCTCTTCTCCCAGGAAGGATATTTCCTTATGGCATCCTCTTCTCCCAGGAAGGATATTTCCTTATCATGGCATCCTTTTAATCTAAAATACTTTCATTCAGGTCACAAATTAATGACTTTATAAACAGAATAAATCATCATTCTAATTCCATAAGTGCATGCACAAACTTAGATTACACAAATACACATAGAATCCTAGAATTTAAGGGTTGGAATGGATTTTACAGATCGTCTAGTCCCAACCAA